AGAATAGAATAACTTACTGGCAGTGACGACAGAATAGAAATATCTTACTGAAAATGATCACAGAATAGAAATATCTTACTGGCAGTGACGACAGAATATGGATATCTTACTGGCAGTGACGACAGAATAGGAATAACTTACTGGCAGTGACGACAGAATAGAAATATTAATTGTGACCATTAACATTTCTCCTCTACAGCAGCGGTTCTCAACCTTTTGCATCTTACGTCCCATCAACCATATTGTCAAAAAGCCCTGGTTCCTCCATGATAAAACCAAAACCCCATTTTTTGTCAAGAAGAGTATTTTCACGTTTACATGCATTTTAGTATTTTATTAATCGTTAATAGAAATTTTAAAAATATTAAAAATTGCAATAATTTCGTTGAGAGTAAGTTTTATTTCTAATGTTGTAAAATATAATTCTATTTGCAGAAATAAAATAATAATTTAGTCATTAGTGAGATGTCTATGGTTGCGTTTCATTGACAAGCATGTCAATTCTTGGGGTAATGTTTGAAATGGCGACTGGAAGAGCTGCTTCGAGTTGAAGACATTTTCCTTCGTTTTTAAAGTTGCCATGGCAGAGAAGACTTGCTCACAAAGATACATGGACCAAAAGGGCAATAGTTTCTTAGTAACTTTTTCGCTAAGTTATGCATATTATGTCGTCACTACAAGTAAGATATTTCTATTCTGTCGTCACTGCCAGTAAGTTATTCCTATTCTGTCGTCACTGCCAGTAAGATATTCCTATTCTGTCGTCACTGCCAGTGAGATATTCCTATTCTGTGGTCACTGCCAGTAAGATATTTCTATTCTGTCGTCACTGCCAGTAAGATATTCTATTCTGTCGTCACTGCCAGTAAGTCCTGTGAAGAAGTGCAGGAGATTGAGATGGAGTTGGAAGAAGAAGATGTAGCAACACTCCTGTAGAGACATTGTAAATGATCTGTCCATACTACTAGTTTTAAAGTAGTGGAAACATTTTGTTCTAGCAACTATTCCAACTTTAAAACATTTTCTACGTGCTAGTTGTGAAAAAATAAATAAATAGCGAGAATCTTTTATCTTTGTTCACAGATTCGAACCAAATTAGCCGTGGTTGCCACCGGATGACATCGGGAAGTGGCAAATACCATGTAAATCAATGGTCACAGTAGGGCCGTTGTTAGCTGTTGTCCTATTTTTTTTTTATTCTCCTAATCTATAACAAGAGAATAAGATAGCTTTAGCTGTTTGTGTAACTATTATTTTATATTATTACGAAATGTTAAAAGGTCTAAAGAAGGAATCCATTCACTAACTCGAAAGGTAGTTGTAGTCTTTTCAATCCTTATTTGAAATGCAGATAAGTTCGTTGTTCCATCATTATTAAGCAAACGGTTTATATTATTACGAAATGTTAAAAGGTCTAAAAAAGGAATCCATTCACTAACTCGAAAGGTAGTTGTAGTCTTTTCAATCCTTATTTGAAATGCAGATAAATTCGTTGTTCCATCATTATTAAGCAAACGGTATACTAGAAGTTTATGTTATTAATGTAAAATGAAATATAGTGGTAGCTTTTAATTCTCTGCTCAAATTGACCCAGCTTTTGAGCAATGAGGCCATTGTTAATAAATGAGAATAATGATGTTTAATGCATTATAGTTGATCCATCTAGCATTAGATCATTGCGTGAGATGATGAACATTGAGCCCATTCTTTAATAACTTAAGCACAGATTCGTGCGTGTACTTTATGTGCTGTTGACAGGACGATTATCCAGCGAAATGCAATGATTTATTGACATATAACGACCGTTACTTTTGATCTTTAGCTCTGACATATTCGTGGCCATGTACTTCATCATCTCTTAAACGGATTTGTTTCGCCCGTTTTGACAGGCTGAATCAAATATAGCGTTCATAATAATAAGGTTAGAATAACGAAACACTGCTCTGATTATTACCATCCAACTCTACCAATACTTACTAAGTT